AAAACCATCCACAACTCTGCCCACGGATATCTCAGACCTGGTCTCAAAATATCACCCTAAACGTCCACTCCGCTCTTCCTTAGACCTCCTGCTTTCCAGCTGCCTTGTCCACTCCTCCCATACTCACCTCCAGGACTTCTATAGAGTCGCTCTCATCCTCTGGAACTCTATACCCTAACCTGTCCATCTATCTCCCACCTTGACTGCCTTTAGGTGTTCCCTAAAGACTCATATCCTCAGGGAAGCCTATCCCACCTCAACCTAACCACTCAACCATCACGTTCTCAAATAATTCATCTCCACAGCTACCTCTTGTCTTGAATTGTATTGTGATTGTAATGTCTTCCTTATATTGTAAAGCGCTGCGCAAAGTGTTGGCGCTATATAAATTCTGAATAATAACAATAATAATAGTCCACTGTAGTGCTCTCTGGTTCCTTCTGTCGATCTTCATGTAGCAACAGAACACACCAGCGATTTGGGGATCAGCGGAAGTAGTGAGCTCTGCAGGAAACCACTAGATCAACACTTCTAAAAAGGTGTCCTGGCAGAACATTACTGTGGGCACCTACATGCATTTACTAGTAAAGACATTTGTTGAGTTTCCTTACCATTTAATTGGCTGTAAAAGTGAATCCAAGCTCCAGTTTTCACCATTAGAAGGGAAGGTTCTGCCTAAGAGCAGACACCACAACATGCATGCTGCACAGTTCTCCCACATCTATTACCATCCCTGACCAATTGGTTGGTCCAAGGCTCCACAACCCAACTGTTACCGGCTTTCCAGCCAAGGTCCTAGTTACAGACAGCCTACCAAATCCGCCTTAGAGAGTTCAACAGTAATTTCACTGCAGGAAGTTATTGCTATAGTAGTTATGGATGCGGACCTGACTTTTGACACGTGCCACCCTAGGCAGTGCTTTATGGTAGAAGCAACTAAATGGTAGGTTAGAGCATGTAATTACTCAGCACTACATACTAATTCTCATTTTACAGTCTCTTTCTTAATCAAGTTCTGAACAGAATGGTATACTGAGCAATAAACACAAACTGGAATAGATCAGTCTTTGGGAATCAGGGCCAATATGTCTGTCACATTTCACAGCCGATTCAAGAGCTGCTCAATTAAAACAAATTAATTGGAATTGGAAATCATGAAGATGTCAGCAAGGCTCAGAAAACTTAATAAAAGATTACAATCAGAGAATTTTGTGAGCGGGGTCATCCCCTGGTTTCTTATATCCAAGGGACTCCACTGGCGAGTTTTCTTTTTTTACTTGAAACCACCAGTTCTGCCACCCCAAAAGCATGGATTCTCCTTCCTCAGATATGCTGCATCTGTACAAGAGTACAAGGAGAAGAGTATCAAGGTTACTTCTGTATACTCAAAAACAGCAAAGATAGAGTAAAACCGTAAAAGGGAAAAAACATCTCCTAGTATGTCCATATCAGGTGTCACATGGGTATGGGGTGGCACCTGTGATTCATCATTGATAGGCTAAAGGCTTTTAGAGTTTATGGAAAGGGAATAAAGTTGACTATACACTGTGCATTTTTTCTCGCTCCTCAGACCTGTAGGGCAGGGACAGGGCATGCTTGATCTTGCTGAACAGCTTGATGGGGAGATCCAGGGACTGGACCCACATGTCCCACTCAGACAAAATGTTGAGATGCAGGAGCCTGGAGTATCACACACTAAGATACTACCCTGAACGAGGCCACCATCAGGCGTAAGACCTTCATGCAAAAGCTGATAGTCTGTCGGCTTCTGGACCTTAAGTTCCAAGCATGAGCTTGGAGAGTCAGCAGTTTCTCCTGGGGAAGGAAGACCCTGGACGTGTCGAAGATAAGACCCAATAACTTCAAGCAATGTGCCAGTTCCAGCATCGACTTCTGGAGATTTAAAGGCCATCTGAAGTCTTGCAGGATGCAGATTGTCCTCTGAATGTTTAACTTGAGGGTTTGTACCGACTGTTTCCTGTGCAGGACGTCATCCACATAGCCAATTATGGGAATCCCCTGGGACCGAAGTAGGACCAGGGGTCAGCACCTTGGTAAATACTCTGGGTGCAGTGGCCAGACTAAAGGGATAGTATAGTAATAGTAAGAACCAGAATAGTAAGAACCCTAACCTTGACTTTACAGACAGTGAACAGGATAAGTTAGAACCCATGGAACCTTTCTACCTCAGGGACAGAAAAACTATGACACAAGCTGCTCTAAGGCAGAGAAAAGTCTGCACGCTTCTGAGGAGACCTGGGCAGGGAGGAGGACAGGAAGTGAGGAGGCGGCTAGGAGCAAAACTCCAGCTTCTAGCCCATGGCCAGAACACTTTGAACCCAGGGAACTGAGATGAGCTGGGTTCACCAAGCACAAAAGGATAACAGACACCCCCCCACCTAAGATGGCACACCCTCTTATTGTGAAGATGGCTTGTTCCAAGCCTGGTCCTCTAAACCTGTCAAGTCCTTGTACCTGAACGGTAAGCCCTGCTTGGGCTGGAAATTGAAGGGCTGTGGTGAACGAAAGGAACTCTTCTTAAAGTAATAAGTAGAAGCTTTAGCTATTGGGAGTTTTAGGCGTCTTTCTTTTTCTTCTGGGGCAGGAGTGTAAGGAAATGTTTTGCAAGGGAGCTCTGCACACCAGCACTTCAGCCAAAGCATTCTCCACATGTGGACAGAAAAGAGACTCATTCTGGAGATTTGGTGTGGGGTATCCATCAGGCCATCAACACAGAAGCGTAAGGCAGAAGGAAAAAGTTCCAATCGGGGTCTTCAGGGTACGTGAAAATGAAACCTGGAAATCTAGACATGGTCTTTGACCTTACAAATAAGAGGCAACAGCAGGTTGCACAGCAAGACCTGCAAGGGCAAATAACGCCTTAAAGTGCATTTCCACTTTTGCAGCCAAATTGGGATAACACCTATTTTACATTTCATACATGTTCCCATTCAAATAGAAAAGAACTAAAAACATATTTTACAAAGACTACATGCAGTTTAAACTGTTTTTACTTTGGTTAGGGGTTAACATTTATTTATACTTGCTTATCTTTCATCGCACTGTTAATAGGGGCTGTGGGGGGTGAGGGGTCTGAGGTGGTTTGTCCATTGTATGTTATTTAAGTGAATCAGAGAAACACCATCCTCAAATTTCAGTACTAAGCCTTTCCATTAGGATAGATCACTGTGAAGGTGCTGAGAAAAACCTGGAACCAGCCACCCCGTCTGCTTTAACGAAACATCTTCAATTTAAAAAAATATATATTTCTTGCCTTTTTATTTTTCTGCTTTGCTGTAGGCTGCTCCTACAGCTTTGATTAATTTACCAGTGCCCAATCACCTAAAAGTAGCTGCATAACCCAGCGCTTAAGGATTTAACTCCCTATGATGTACGATCAAGAAATCGAGTTTTGTCAAATGGGGCCACACACTGGTCAGATTTTTGCAGAGTTCTGCTGACAAATTCAAACAGCACAGGGCCAAGCTTCGTTTTTCCACACATGGAACAAAAAAACAGCAAACTTACCTTAGCCAGCCTGCGCTGCTCATTCACTGTGCAAAAAGCAGGAAAGTAACACTGAGGTTGATTTAGCAGTGACTGTTCAATTAGGAAAGAGACTGCGCTGTCACCATTAGTAAATCAACTCCTATGTATTTAGCCGCTTGTCAGGAGCACCAATGTCATCCAGCTAATAATGGCAAAACGTCTGCACGCTACACTTTCACCCTCTCTGCAGGTAGTACAAAAATGTTACTTTCCCTGAAGGGTTTTATACTAAAAAGAATGCAATACAAGAGTGGGAAAACCAAAAACTCCAATTAGCTCAGAAACAGGAGCCAGCACTGTAGCCAAGAAGTTCTCATCTCTGTAAGCCCCAGGAGATACAAAAAGCCAACAGGGCGACTCCCGACTGCCTACAGTTGCAAACTCACTTTAAAAGAAATCTTTATCATACCTTAGATCTGTATGTATGCTTTTCATCAAAAATTACCTGGACACAACAATATTAAATATGTGCCAAGCTGGGCAATGTTTCTGAATTCTAGCGTAAAGCAATTACATTTATGGCCAAGACCTGAGTAAAAGGTACCACACCCCTTGAACACCGCAGTGTGCGGCTCTGGGGCGATCAATGTGCGGCTCTGGGGTGATCACAGCCGCCCCAGAGCTGCACCCCAGTGTGCGGCTCTGGGGCGGCTGTGCTGGATACCGGGGGCCCAGGAGGGTGTGAAGTACTGGGAGCCCTCCATCTCTGGCTGTGGTGATCACTCTCTCTGAAGTCATAGGAGCCCCTTTGCTTCCCTGAGTGTCTGACTTCTACCTCCTATTTGCCTGCCATTGGGTCACTGGTCCTTGCTCCTATCCTTCTCTCTCTCTCCCCCCCCCCTGAATTTTGGGGCCCTGTCCGGACTGGTCCTTCTGAGCGCATACGCATCAACCTGCTAAAAAAAAATAAAAAAAAAAAAAAAATCGATATCCTCCCATTTCCTGATGAAGCACTTTTCAGCGCGAAACGTTGAAATCATGCGACTCCTCCTCTTTCAGAAATAACCAATCATGTCTGTTCTTTGAATCATGTTAACACATCTTTATCATGTATTTTTGTATTGCCCAATTAGTGGAGGTAGTCTGTTAAAAGGAGATCTCTGATCAGATGCTATTTGCAAATGAATTTTATGAACTGAACATTTTTTTACCATCACTTTTTTTATACTCTCTACTGCCTTGGAATTGTCATTTCTGGGACCTAAAACCCCCCATCTATTTCTGTTTGTGATCATTCTAAATTCTAGTGTAATCAAAGTAAAATGAATTTGACCAAGTTTAACAGCAAATTGAGGGGGAAATGAATTATACGGTAAACTGGCATAGAATTATTAATGGATCATTTTCTAAAAACCAATGAAGTGTGACCTAAACAAATACACATATCTAAACTGAAGGGACACACACACACACACTTAAAAGGAACCGGGTATTTGAAAAAATGTGCTTACCGTGGTATCTGAAGCCTCAGACTGCACATCAATGTTTAGTGATGTGCTCTCAGCTACAGAACCAGATCCCACTGCTGAATCTATAGTGCGAATATCTTCCTCATTTTCACTAGCCTGAAATATGGTATTGATATAAAATATTTTAAAAGATTGAAAAATAAAAAAAAGGGAGACAAAGCAAACGTTTTTAAAATGTCATCAGACACAAAACATGCAGTCAGTAAAAGTCACACTTACAAGCATTGTTTGAAGAAATTTAAGGTAACACTTTTCCTGGGCTTTTAGATGGCCAATTAAGTTTGACAAGCGTTCCACATTTGCAGACCTTTCATTTTTCTCAACAAGGTCATCTCTCATGGAAGTGGCCTTAGAGATATAGTTGCGAATCTGTACAAGTCTACTCACAACCTACAGAAAAAGGCATGAAGGGTAACTACTTGATGAGGAAGTTCTGAGTGGTGTGTGTGTGTGTGTGTGTGTGTGTGTGTGTGTGTGTGTGTGTGTGTGCCAGGCACATTGCAAGAGAACAAAGAATGAATGGATGTTTGGAGTAATCCTATAGTAGGATACATAAAAGCAGATGGTACAATTAGTCCGTTTATGGTCTTGAATGTACAGCTTTCCACAAATCACATGCAAACAGCCCGATAATAATATATGGAACAGAAAAAACAAAAAAGCAAAAATGTGCAAAAACTAACCTCAAAACCTGTTTTAAATTCAAGGTAAATAATAGAAGAGAAGAACATATAGTTCCACAGTCTCCAGATAACAAAGCTGTAATCATTTCTGCGTCACTTGCAGGAAGTAACTAGCAGGCCAATTTTATCATGGCAGAAATAATGTGGTACAGCCCAGCGGCGATCCAATCCAAATAATACACTACATTTAATGGTTTGTTTTAATGACACTATTTAGTTGATTGAGAGAGTCTGAAGTAAAGTGCTCAGTGCTCATAGTGTTATTCCAATTCCAGCAAAGAATATGGTTGCTTGGGTACTGCATTTCTGTAAGTCAGCCTTGTGTACGGGGTATAATGTATAAAGGTTGTTGGGAAACATTCCCTTGACTAAGGAGTCTGAAGAAGTATTAAAGTGACACCAACTGCAAGAACTGTGGATCCTCAAATCATCTCTGAATTTGTGCTGACACTGTCCTTCCTTCTGGAGGGTGGCTACTTTTGTTCCCCATGGTCCCTGTATGTGTTGTAAAGTAGCCACCACTCCAAGCTCACTCCTATGATAGACTATAACTTCAATACAAATTAGTAAAATAAACATGAGATGGTAGGTCATCAAAAGGAGTGATCTTGGAGCGGTGACTACTTTATAACACACAGGGACCATGGAGAACAAAAGTAACCACCCTCCAGAAGGAAGGACAGTTTCAGCATGAGTTCAGAGATTATTTGAAGACCTAAATCCGGGTGATACACAAATAAGATACATTGTTGTTAATAGTTAGGTTACTTGAATATATTTTTAAGATTTAACTCCTGAGTTTATTGCCACTTTAAAATATACATTTAGGCACAACACAAAAACTAAAATATTAATGCATAGGGCAATTTTTAGCTGGTGACAATCAGCTTTCCATCACAAAAACAGCCAACTGAATCTTAGATCATAGCCTGGTGTCAATAGACACTCTCAGGTGGTGGGTTGCCTTTACAATTGAAAGTTGGCTGAACTGGCTTGATAACTGATTTATGTGTGGCCAGCATGACCCCCTGCACACTTGCCATTTAATTGTCAAATGTCAGAATTAAGGATGCACAGATACTGTTTTGTCAGCATCGTGTACCGATATTTTTCTCAGCACACGCCGATACAGAAAGTACCATTAGGAAGCTGGACGGCCTGCAATGACTTGGCCCGGCTTCCCGATTAGCCAGGCAGCGTGTAATGACTCGCCACCCAGCTTTCCGACTAGCCAGGAAGATGTCTCCATACTCCCTCGTCACCAGGTGACTAGAAAGTATGGGGCCAGCTTTCTGGCCAGTGAGGAAGCCAAGGGGCACATTCAGTGGACAATGCAAGAGTCAAATTTGGGTGTTTTTGGTATATGTTTAAGCAAATTTGTCATGCAGCTCCAAGCAGACAAACCTTCCACAGCCACCACTAACAACATGCAAAATGCTCACCTTGAAACAACTAAGCTTGTAATGTAATCCCAAAGTGTAAAAATTATCTTAACGTTGTACTCCATATAAACAAATCATGTCTTAATACAAAAAGGAATGTGTATATTAACTTAACTTGGTGTTCCTTTGTATTTCTTCCAGATCTGTGAAGTAATCCAGTCCGAAACTTTCTTTGTACATGACTAGATACTGTTGCTCACCTTCCTTGTGCAGGGTGACTGTTCTTGTATTCACCCCCCCCTTTCTAGATTTCAGGCAGCTGGTATTGGGGGGACCTTCTGGGTCCCTCCCACAGCTCTGTACAGGCTACAGTGATGATCATTGCAACTAATACCCAAGTTCGCACAGACATTTGAGGCACACATAGATACAGTGGGTATAGAAAAGAATCACCCCCTTTAAAAATAATCACATGTTGCTTTGCAGCCTGAAATGGTAAATACAGCTGGATAAATCAAAAACTGTGTCTCAGTGCAACTTATAACATCCAAGTGAAAGATATAACACCAACATGTCAGAAAAAAAATAATAATTCAAAAACAGAATCACCGAGTTGGAAAAAGGATCACCCCTCCTAAAAATGAATTGGAAACTCAATCAGGTGTAGCTGATCACTTTCTCAATGACACACAAAGCCATTTGACTTTCAACTGTGATCATCTGTGGGGGTCATTTTCATTAGCTCAGCATGAAAAGAGCTTTCCGAAGCACTTCAGTCCCTGGTAGTGCAACTGAAGCAATCAACTATGGGTGGCAAAAACACTGTCAGAAGATCTCTAGGATAAAGTTGTGGACAGGCGCAAGTCAAGAGATGGATACAAAAACATTTCAAAAGCTTTATCAATGCCTAGAAGCACAGTGAAGTCTTATTAAGAAGTGGAAGGTATTTGGTACAACACAGACTCTCCCTGGATCAGGATGTCGCTCCAAACTGGATGAAAGAGCCAGGAGGAAACTGGTCAGAGAGCTAACCAAGAGGCCTCCAGCAACTCTAAAGTAGCTGCAGGAATTTATGACAAAGAGTGGTGTGCATGTGACAACAATATCACAAAATCTCCACAAATGTGGCTTGTATAGGAGGGTTGCAAGAAAATAGCCTCCTCAAGAAAGGCCACATGGAAAAAGGTGTTCTGGTCAGATAAGACTAAAATTGAATTGTTTGGCCTCAACAGCAAATGTCTGCTGGAGATCCAATACAGCTCACCATCCAAATAACACCATTCCTATAGTAAAGCATGGAGGTGGCATTATCCTGTTATGGGGGTGTTTCTATGCAGCAGGGACTGGAGCACTTGTCAGGATAAAAGGATGGGGCAAAATACCGTCAAATTCTTGAGGAAAATCTGCTGCCCTCTGCCAGAAAGTTACATAGTTACATAGTATTTGAGGTTGAATAAAGACATTAGTCCATCAAGTCCAACCTATACTCCGGCAATTTGTTCTCCAAACCCTGTGTGAGCAAGTTGTCAATGGGAAGAAGGTTTACCAATGACCCAAAGCACACAGCAAGAAGAATGACAACACAGTGGTTGAAGGAGGAAAAGGTGAATGTCCGTGCATGGCCTAGTCAGAGCCCAGACTTGAACCCCATTGAAAATCTGTGGAATGACTTGAAGACTGCAGTCCACAAACGCTCACCATCAAATGTAACTGAACTTGAGCAGTTCTGCAAAGAAGAGAGAGCAAATATTGCAAAGTCTAGATGTGCAAAGTTAGTATAGACATATCCCAACAGACTAAAGGCTGTAATTAAAGCAAACGGCGGCTCAACAAAATACTGACACAAGGTCACCCTTTTTTTATTTTTTTCTGACATGTTGGCGTTTCAGTAGATCTTTCAGTTGAATGTTCTAAGTTGCACCTAATAAGTACAGCTGGATAAAACAAAAACTGTCTGCCTTGATTTCAGGCTGCAAACAAAATGTGATTTTAAAGGGGGCAATTCTTTTCTATACCCACTGTGAGGTCGTTGAGCAATATATTTTAATAAACATTTTTGTGAGCAGAATTAAGCTTTCATTTTAGTTTTTTACTTTTTGCAGGACAGTTCACAAAAAAAAAAAAAAACATGGAGGCTGCATTGCTAGCCTCCTCAGAATGAAAGTTGCCTGCATCTGCTAGAGTCTGAATTCCTTATCTGTGTACTTGTTCCAGGTCTGCGATTCAAAAGCACAAGACAAGAAATAAATATTTTCAGCATCAGAGCTGACAATGGCAGCCTCTCTCTCCTTAAAGTGAGTGAAATACACTCATCCCCATAGTTAGAGCTGATGTGCGACACTGCAGCTTTCACACGCTGGGTCTATAGATTGGGAATTGAGCGAACACATACCACTGACAGCTCACCTCTTCTCCCTGCAGAGAGTGATGACTGTTAGTCATCAATCCCCACAGGGATTGCCCCCTCCCCTCTCTGTTCCTCCAGCACTCATTGGAGGGAGAGACCAGGGAGGGGGCGGGTACAGCTGGCTCCTGCTCTAGAGAGGCAGAGCAAGCTGTCAATCAGGCAGCCGGGTGGATCCTGACAATATTGTTGGGATCTTTCAGGGTGCAGCGTGGCTCTGAGCTGTCAGCTTATAGTGGGCAGAGTTTTGTGTCACATTAAGACATTAGTAGATGTACTCCTGTGACCCAGAAGAGAACTAATAACAAAAAAGGTTTGGGGAGAGTCCTCTTTCAAGGCTCGTTCACATCACATCAGTTGAGCACCAATTTTATGCTCAACGTCAAAGCAGATATTAAAGAATTGTTTGTAAGTGCCCTGTTCAATAAAATGCAGACGTGCTTCTATTTTTTGCAACACACCTCAACTAAGCTCCACTGCGGCGCATAGAAGTGAATGACATGTAGTAACCTTATTGAAATGCCATTTTGTGACATTTTGATAAAGTTAAACAAAGTAAACCGTGCCTTGCATTGTAAGCAAAACACTGTCTCTACACAACAGACACTAGACCACTCATTTATTGTGAAGGCTAGTGTAAGCCTAGAGGTAAATAGAAAGCAATTACAAGAACATAAGCAAGTTAAAAAGTAGTAAATTTGCAGTCTAAACGACATGCTTTAGAATAGGACACGTTGATAATTGACGGAGCATGTCACTCTTCAGATATTCATTTAACTGCAACCAGGTGGGAACGCTACTTTATATGTTCTGGTCCTGTAGTAACCTACAGGACTACTGGTTCAAAATCTTTCGGATCCTTAGTGGCGTCATTGGAGCTCATATCGCTCCTAACTCTGCGTTAGCACTTCTAAATCTAGGAATAGATAATATACCGTCTCCTAACAAAATGGTTACCACGCACATACTGTTAAGATGCTCATACACTGTACGATTCTCGTATGAGAATCGCGGGATTTCCGCGATCGTACGATAATCGTACAGTGTATGGAAGGGCGTGCGACCGTTTCTACTGTACGTTCGCACGTCTTCCGTCTGACAAGCAGGCTTAAAACCCCGCCGAGAATCGTACGATTCTCGGCGGGTTAGTGGCCTGCTTGTTCGACAACTGCCGAACGGGCCGGTATGCGTGCGCACGCGCACACTGCCCGTTTGCAGTGATCGGAAGCCCGCCTCTCACTGCAGTCATCAGAAGCCCGCCCCTCAGCGGGGCGGGCTTTCGATGATCGCAAGTACGATCTGCCTGTCCAAGATGGACAGATCGTACGAGCTTTTAATAAGCTTACGACCATCGCAAGACAAAAAAGTCTTGCGATGGTTGTAAGGTGTATGGGCACCTTTAATATCCAAACTCCAAATAGCAAGAAACTGGAAATCTACTGACCCTCCTACGACTGGCGAGGTCCTTAAATTGATTCACATGCATTACAATTATGAGAGAATTGTGGCACATCGCCAATCTACCTTGGTTAAATTAAATAGAATCTGGTTACCATGGACTACTTGGTATAATCCCCCTGGCTGATACATTACATATTGATGTTTTCTTAACCTATGTACTGGAATTTCTTATCCGTTTTGTTTAATTTGTACTGACTTTGCATTTATTTTACCCATCTGTGTTTTACTCTGTATATCATAAGTATATTCACTGTAATTATCTTTAATACCCCCATGCTCGGGATACTGTACTACAGAATTTGTCTGTTAATTACCTTCAAAACCCAATAAAAACCATTTGACTCCGATATTCATTTAGACAGTTGAGGGAGTGGATAAGGACCACCTTAGCTGACATATAAATGCAGCAACAACACACAGAGGACGGTATAGGATGTGCTGCCATTGCTCCACAACACTGAAGCTCTAGATGCTAGAAATGTGCCAGAGTGTACGCATCAACACGCCATGCATTCCATGCCACACTGACAAACCAAAATATTACAAAAATTGATTTTCCTAAAGTGTCAAACAACCTCACTTGTACCATCCAGTATTTATTAAATGAAGTCCCTACATGGATGCCATTTTCCAAAACATCCCTGAAATGCAAGAACGTTTCTGAAACTGATATATTAAAGTGTGATATCATATACAGCTCTCTTTCAGGCCGCTTGTAGAAAGAGCTGTAGTACTGTTCTAGTATCAGTATGCCAGCAATGCTCAAGAAATGGAACTATACCTGACTACTGTCAATGGCTGCTTCTCCTCTTGCATCATCTGACAAAGAGGCCTGAAAATTGTGCACCAAATCTTTAGCAAAGGCGGACGTTAGGAAGTCCTTGGGCAAGGATGACACACTGGTTTCTCTCTTTGGAGGACTTGCTGTTTTAGCCTTGTCTTTATTAGTGTTCAGCTGCAGCGGTAGAAAGTTGAAAGGTTTCCGGTTCTCAGAAAGCTGCCGTTTGTTATTTGCTGCCGTTGCTCTGCCTTGGGAGTCGCTCCCAATGCTCCTCTGCAAAGGGAAATATAAGTCAAATACATATTTGTGCAGAAACGAGATGCGCGACATGGGTTTAGCAGATCCTGCATAATAAGCAGCCATTTTTATGGCTACTGAATGTGCCCAAGGATTCTGCAGAATCCCGATTACAGCTTTCAAACAAAAACATAGTTAAATTACACATATGTAAACCGATTGATTGAGATATATATTTATACTCAAACCCAAGTACAAAAAACTATTATGTTGCAGATTAGTAGTCTTTGGATGTGGTGGCTGCAACAGTTTCCTTATTTCAAGTGACAGGTTTATCAAGTAAATTTTTAGAACAATTCGGAAAAATACCCGCTGATCGTCAGAAATCTTACACTATGTCCTGGTCCTTCCTGTGCTCTGAAAGGAAACCCCAAACAATGTTTCAGCCATCATCTGTGAACTACAAAGCAATGCATCTCTATGTAATGGAGAGGAACAGAACAGGAGCAGTTTCTGGTCCAAATCAGGAGAGCAACTTAGGGTGATAATGCTTCTATATAGATATATAGGTACCCTGAGCGCTGGGACCCTTGCACAGTATGTTGTTATTGGCAGGATCACCAGGTAGAAATACATTTAAAAGTGCCTGAAAAAGGAACATGAATGCAGCGACCACACCTACAGACTGATAACCTGCAAAATGTAAAACATTTTTTTGGATTTACTTATTATTTACCTGCCAATGGGATTTGTCACAGCATGCCCGCTATTACTTTTCTACATTTCCTAACCAGAAACCCTCCATTGTGTTACTCTGGAGTGGGTTTCACTATGTTGCAGGGCCTGACTCCAGTGCCAAATGTCATCCCGATGTCCAGTTCCTTAGTGGACAAACGTAAGGGCTTGCCCAGGCAAATGGCAATCAGTAGGGACTTGCCCTAGAAAGAGAAGTCAGGCCACTGTAACAAGGTAAAATGGTTCCAAGTCGACACAGAGCATAGCGTTCTGGATTACAAAGGTAAGGGGCAACACTATCTTACTGACGAACACTCTCCCATAAATGTCTGAGAGTTTATAACCAGTGGATTACAGGAAGCTGATGGTGACGAACTTGTACAAGTCATATTTTAAAATCCATCATATGATAGTCAATGCCTGCCTTATATGAAGCTTCTTTATATAAGCCTGGATTCAGCTTTAGAAGGTTCAAACATGCAACATTTCAAAATAGTGTTCAATATAAAACTATGATTATAAAAGAGACTTTTTGTGCAATAATAAAAGATACACATGCATATAACATAAAGTCCAGGTGTGCCTTGCAGAGTATATAGAACCAATCACTTCAGTAGCTGTCAACTGTGCAGTGCATTATATACACTATGCCACCATAACACAGCACACTACATGCACTGTGCATTATATACTCCATGCTGCTTCATTACATAAACTGTGCCTACAGCATACATCCATCATATTACATGGCATCAAATACAGCATTTACTGTGCTATACATTATATTTATATCTACAGGGCTCCACTCAATACACTGAGCTGTATGTACTCTAACTGCTGTGCGTTATATGCTACTCAATGTTCCACTGAATAAACTGTGCCATACATTAACCATCCTGCTGTGTTGGCTATACTGAAAGCTGCTCCAATGTACATCACATACCCTAAACACAGCTTCTCACTAGGGGAATTTTCTAATGAGCTCAGTTCAGATGGTATTCATATTTCTTATAACAAGATTGTTCGAGCAGTTCACACTTTTAGATAATAAATAATAATAAAAAACATAAGATGCTGCTTGGAATAAGGCCTCGTTCACACCAGACACAGTGTGTTCCAGCCCGATACTGCATCGCGGCTGACTCACTATGTTGTGGGGCAGGAGGGGGTGTGGCGGTCCCTTGAAGTGAATGGCACTGTAGTAACGCCTCCGGCCGCACAGGAACGTAAGGCACTTCAATGCCTGCGGTCTGGTCCGAACAAAATAGTGCTTGCAGCATTTTGACCAGACCGCAGGCATTTATGTGCCTTGCGTCCCCCTGCAGCCAATCGCATTGCGGCCGGAGGGGGCGGCTATGGTGCCATTTACTTCAATGGACCGCCACACCCCCTCTGCATCGTGGCTGACTCACTATGTTGTGGGGCAGGAGGGGGTGTGGTGGTCCATTGAAGTAAATGGCACCGTAGCCGCGCCCTCCGGCAGCAATGCGATCGGCCGGAAGGGGACGCAAGGCACACCAATGCCTGCGGTCTAATCAAAATGCTGCAAGCACTATTTTGTTCGGACCAGACCGCAGGCATTGAAGTGCCTTACGTTCCTGTGCGGCCGGAGGCGTTACTACAGTGCCATTCACTTAAAGGGACCTCCACGCCCCCTCCTGCCCCACAACATAGTGAGCAGTGCCCAATGCGGTGCAGTACGTTCCAGCCAGAATCGGGCTGGAACGCACTGTGTCTGCTGTGAACGAGGCCTCAACAAAAACCCTAATTGGTGGGTAATAGTAATGACTGTAAACAAGTCAAAGGGAGTTATTGGCTTACAAAGTTAAGTACATGCTTTAATAATCTTGAAAAACAAGGCTGTACACTTTACCTTCTCTCCCTGAAAATGATTGCTGATCCTAGTCTATTTCTGCCTCTGTACCATCCAGTACTTTACTCCGTTTTACCATCATAATGCTCAGTGCCCAAGATGGACGCATGTTAGCAAGAAAAGGTAACAGACAGCACTTTGTGGTAATGGCTCTTAGTTAGGACTTTTATCTTGAAAAAGTTCAAAACGAAGGACAGCTTTACTTTGACATTTACAGACAGAAACTTGTACTTTATATTTAAGAAACAAATTGATGGTAATAGAAGTTGGTTTGTAGGTAAAATACGATCAAGCACATCAAACAATTAGTCTGTCAATAACACCTCGTAACAACATTAGGGCTGCAATCACTCATTTTTAATAAGGAGAAAAGAAAAAAAAAAAACATAAGAATGAACTAAAAACAGATAATATAAAGTGTGTAAGGCAACACACCTGGTCCAAATCCCCAAAATTGATTTTCTGCTTGAGTCTTTCCAATTCTGCCTGTTCTGGGACAGACATCTGGGACACGTATCTGGTATGTGGATAAGTATGTGGTGTTCTTGTCCTCCTGCGGCCAACACCAGGAGATGACCCTGGAGAGATGTCGTTTGTGAGTCGTGCCTCACACTCCATGCTAAACTTCTTCTTGTTTTTCTCTGATGATCGGTTAGCTTTCTGCCCACTCCAGTCCTTAAAAAAAAGGCAAAAAGCATGAAAGCAGCATTTATTAAATCACAATTCCTTTAACGTATATCTAAAAGGCAAAATTGTTTTTGTTTGTTCAGGTATTCTAATTCGCAAATCTTAAAGCGTATCTATTTTTTTAGTTGGCATAGAGTTTTTTTTGGCTGTCATTTTCTTTTACTTGCTTTCAGAAAACACAGCAGAAAGTCAAAGAAGATCTTCAAAATGAAGAGAAATCCTTTCTTAGGACAGATGTCACTGGTAAGTGCCCCCACATGTAGTCTCCATTAAAAGCCCTTTTAACAGGGTGACAATGCAGAAGCACAACAGAGACAGGAACAGAGCGTTGTCACCTATTTTGCAGGACCACCAGGTATTATTTTAATGCTGTGAAAAAAAAGGAAGGGGGGGGGGGGGGGATTTTGCTTGTTTGGCACAGCGGCCATTCAAAGAACGCCTAGTATTTTTTATCAATGAACACAAGGCATTCTTTGAATGGACGAGGAGTGGCGACATCATGATTCACCCCTTGCCCAATCAGAGTTCAGCTCTAATTTTAATGTGTATAGAAAGGAAAGCGTGGGTTTAAAGGGGTTCAGTTCATTTCATTTAATGTGATTTTTACGTCCTAGGAGCTTTATTGACAAAGTTGGTGTCAGGGAAAGATTTGCTCCTTGCATGGCCTGGAAAAGAAGCTCTCTAATCTTGTTCCCCTCTGGTCAGAAGTCCATACAGGCTCACCTGCTGTTCACGTGGGCTGAAGGGAAAGCATGCATCAGTTTTAGACAGCACCAATTTTTTTTAGATGCCCTTCTTTGTGTTTTTGGTATATTATCTCTCAAGCAGGTACATAGTAGATACAAAATGAAAATGACAAAACATTATGAATAATAAAGTATACCAGATTATTCAGCCTGTCCTCCAAAGATTCCTGACTCCAGTTAGGCAGATCGTGATCCAGAACTCCTTCCTCAGGTGTTCCTCCCCCTGTAGCCATGTTGTAAACAAGTGCTTTGTAGAGAATGGTGACTCAAAACCTGCAAGTGAATTTACAAAATGTATTTTTAAAAACTTCACAATAAGTTGTCAAAGCAAACACAATGAGGAAGGTGCAGTACTGAGACAGGCGCCGGGCTCCTCCTCCTCCTCTGGCTGACCCTGCCTCACTATTTTCTTTAGCGGATCTATAGTCAAAACTTTTCTTTTTAAGTTTTGGATACAGTAGGGAAAGGTTTAAACCCTATCAGGTTATTTTTTGTTGATGAGATTTCCCTTCTGTCCTGAAGTAACAAAAAATTAAAGGAATCTCCCCAAAAAGAGGGGAATCCCGTCTTAGACAGTCGTCACTGAAACATTTGTCCCAAGTGGGCAATTTACCCTGATTAACTCTTGCTCTGTTGACGACCCATCACTTTCTGCCTTGGGGAGAATTATCACCAGGACCAACCGAGAGAGAGAAACTTAAGTTTAGGTCTGCATTAAAGAATAAGATCACCCAGATGGAGATTTCCACACTGAGTAGACAGCAGTGATCTGAATCATCTTAGAGCAACAGGATAATGTAATGTTGAGATTTCTTTACAGGATTTTTCTAGCACTTGCAGAAGCTGCAACCATTAAACCTCAACTCCAGTCAGAAATGTAAAAGCACTTTAGTGAATGTCATACCCAAGCCTGCATCAATATGGACTGTTTTTTTACAAATAGTTCTGCAGTAACTGAATAATCCATTTCTTATTCTCTGCTTTCCATGGCTCGCTCCCTTTCATATCCTGTTTAGAAGAACAGTGGCCTATGCCCTCTCCTTCCTAGAGGCTACTAGACTTGTAACTGTCCCGTGTAGTTCATTCACATGAGCAACTCATGAAGTGGGTGGACCTGTGCTGATCAGGCTTATGTCTGGCCTGGCATAGGTGATTTCTAGGTCCGGGGACTCCCCATTTGTCCTGCCCATCCACACCTGCCAGGTTTTGCAGTCTGCCGATACCCACATCCTGCCCATTGCATCATGAAAATTGCAGTTAACCCCAGTGCGCCAAATATCCCTGCTCCAACTTGTAAGGTAAAAAAGAGTAACTGAAGAGAACACATTTTTCTAAAGGCAGAATTCGGCTAAAAGAAGTAAGAATAAGGAAACCCGCCTGTCCGTGTTGTGTTTGAGGTAGGGAAGCTTAGGGTGAATTTTTGCAGCATATTGGAGTTCACCTTTAAGAAGCCAATAAAGTGTTTGACTCCTTGTGATATACTCTCAGTAATGCAAACTAAAGAAGCAGAAGAAAAGAGACCGCCCTCTAATGGGCTGAGCAATCACCAGCATCCACCTAAAGATGAAAGAATACTGAACTTTCCCTGACACTTACTCTTGTTCTTTGGACTTTACACAGCCTATACAGGATGCTACATTTGTCATATAGTTCTCCATTAGCCTGTTACATAAAACAAAACATTGCCACCAACATGGAACAACATCCGCTGGTACCTATTAAATGACACAGTATAAATATTTTCCATAATGAAGAATTACTGTTTATAAAAAGGTGGAGAACATAAACTAAAAGGAATCACTAAGCAAGATCCATCCCATATGATTCTACATATGAACTATGTCTATACATCTATAAGATCCATCCCATATTATTCTACATATGAACTATGTCTATACATCTATAAGATCCATCTCATATTATTCTACATATGAACTATGTCTATACATCTATAAGATCCATCTCATATTATTCTACATATGAACTATGTCTATACATCTATAAGATCCATCTCATATTATACTACATATGAACTATGTCTATACATCTATAAGATCCATCTCATATTATACTACATATGAACTATGTCTATCTATAAGATCCATCCCATATGATTCTACATATGAACTAGGTCTACAAGATCCATCCCATATTATTCTACAGATAAGCTGTTTCTATGCCTTGTCAGCAGAAGATGGACAGTCACAAAGCATGGATATGGATTTAGACCATAATCATATCAATATATGCAGTGTTACTTTTAGAAACATAATTAGCAAACACAAGAATAACAAACCCGTCCATTTCATACCGGAGAGGTAGATGAGAGGATGGAGGGGTCTAAGCTCAGCCCCTCCCCCACACCATGGAAAAA